CCATACGATAGGCCGTCATATTTACAAAATTATATTTAAAGTTATCTAAATTGAATGTCTCGATATCAAACGTTATGAAATGATAGTGATATTTATAATTATTCATTTGGACTTGTAGTATCTGTGCGGATATAGGAGCAAAAATAACATTCATCGTATTAGTTTATGTCTCAGTCAATCATACTGTATATGGTTAGGATAGGGATGGGATAGTGTTGTGCGGATGCGGTCACTCACAGCGGCTAATAGATGAGGCAGACTCTCAGGCCTGGTGTCGATGATTATACTATATATGCCTCGCGTTCGGACGTCTTTAAGTATTTCGCGAAAATTCGTTGGATTACTCTTACGGAAGATAAAAGTGACAGTCTTTGAGAGCGGAGGTCTCACCAATTGCTGCAGTTTTATCAGAGCTAATACAGACAATACACGTATTTTGTTAAATGATGGTAATTTTGGGTGTTGTGGGAAATGATGGGCAATGTTATTATATGACGGATGAAAAAGGTAGTAAATTTTAAGCATAGTTAAAAATACTTCTCAATTTTTAATGCTATATCATTTGATGACTGATATGAGGATATTCTGTAAGTTTTTTTAAAAAGGCTTTAAAAATAAATTATCTCTCTTTAGAGAATCCTATGACTGAATACAATGTACTAAAAAAGACTACAAAATTTAAGGGCATTAAAGTTTGTTATTTTTGGCTTTTAGTGTACTGTAGTGTCTGTGCTCTAAACGACACTATTATTTTGAACACAAAAAATACATTCACTTATAATTTTCGATTAGCTGTAAAACATTTTCCTAATAAAACCCAATTGTTATCTGACTTTAGGTCTACTTTTATGGTGTTTTCTTCCCTTCATTCTTAACCTGAGGTACATTTCCTATCCTTTCCTCCCCTTCGCTATTATATTAATGTTTGCATCTATTGTACAACGAATCGAGGCGTCAGATAAAAGCTCTTGGATTTTATTATATTAATAGTTGTGTTAAACTTATTTCAATTTCTTCTTTTATGCATATATTTGTTACTGAGTTGTCTCATTTGTATTCACAAAATGTGATTTCTTATTAATATTTTGGTTATATGGCGTTAAATGTAAAAGAAAATGTTGAAATAAAATAGAGAGAGAAATAATTGGTAAAACACTTACATAAGTCTTCCTCATATATGACAGCAATTTTAGTCCAATTCAAATAAGTGATGAGATCTCTGAGGGCATCGCCAATGATTGTGGGACTCGGGTAGAGGTTTATAGAGAACTCTTTGATCTCAGACTCCAAATCAATGCGCGCTTCGATGTGAGGGATGTCTAAAGCGTCGCAAAGACTCTGGATATGACTCCCGAGGAGGGGGTCCTGCGGTCCAAATATGGCGTTCACACCTCCCGTCACCTGATGGCAGGCTATTGTCATAATAGTGAGCATCACATTAATTATATTGATTAAAATTGAATTATAATTGAATTAAAACATTGTTATTTTGCACTTAATTAAATAATGTTTAACCAGAGTTTGGGTCAACGGTAGGGTATATTTTTATACATCGATAAGTGTGATTGCATTTGGTATTTAATTAAATCATAGATGAATTCATATAATTTGCTTTAAATTAATTCAATCAATACTTTCTTAACTCGGAATTAATTCATTTAATGAAAAGTATAATTATATCTGAATTAGGATTTCTATAAAAATCAGCAAAAACTATGTCAATTGTATATCATTTATCGGAAGTTCTCCCCCCCCCCTCTCTCTCTCTCTCTCTCTCTCTCCCAATAATGTTTACAAATTATTCTTTTCATTTAATACACAAAAAAATCAAACATTTATTTTACAAAAACTACAGTAAACGATACAATTGCTAATTGAACAGCAATTGAATTGAATACAACTTTACTGATAACACAGTTATTATATTAATTTTTTTGCCAAACATTTCCTTCTTTTCGGTTAATATATTATATTTCATATTAAAGAAAAGTCTAGTATTTCTTTCTCTTCCACTCTTTTCCTCTTTTGGTGTGTCTTTTGAGATGTTTCTCATCGCAGAGAGAAATATATTAGACATGAATTTCTATACTTTTGATGTATCAATAAGTTATATACATTACATAATACTTTATATATAAGTTATAATATATCTATACGTCTAATAAGTTATATATAAAACTTTGCGGAGACTTATGGCGGATACGCCTAAACCAAGTCGTGAAAGACCAGTGGAGAGATATTTACGTCCATTGGATTTGAAAAACAGCCCACAAATCAAAAACACATTTAATATCTGAGCAAAACTTTTTAACACAATATCTATTTTGTGTGTGTTTTTTGTTGCCATTATTTTTGAGTATTATTATTATTGTATTTGCCTTTTATTCTTGTTGTAATAGGGGTTTCGCTTCACTCAAACACATCTCTGCCTATTATTTCACGACCAAAACCATTATTTGTGAGTATTTATATAATATATAACAATATATGGTATTATTTGAGCTATCAATCAGATGATATTATATAAAGTATAACCTAACGAATGCATTGCCACAAAAATATTGTCATTAAATCAAAACCAAAAGCAAAGAATTGTTATATAAGTAAAGGATATTTGTCTTAAGAATCGTAACTATTATAACAATTGCCTTATTTTTCGATTGGATTTAAACGAAACGATATTTTGAGATCATTTGCACCATCAGTTTAGAGTACAAATCAAGCGATCATTACTTGACATAACCGCCCGTTTCTTGACATTAAGTAAACGCCTGTCCATCAGATATACAATAGAGATATACAGTATATACTGTATTGAGCGGTCAAACAGTGGGAGCCGTCATATATTTCCAGTCGCTTCCCATGTATTTGTGACAAAAACCGAGAGGTCTTTAAGAGTCGACGAATCTATTATGTAATTCAGGAGTTTCTTTTAGGACGACTGGCCATCAATAGACCCACCATTTGTCCCACAATTGGCTTAAACTCAATAACTTTAGTTGTAATAGAGTTTTACTTCTTATCAACACAATAAACAAGAAAAGTGTGTTTTCGATGAGAGTATAACTCTTTTTTCCATTAGATTTGTTTATATATCGCTTATAACCGAATATTGAGTTACAATTTTGTTGTCGAGATTTGAATAAGACTTTTGTATAATATATATAAATGTGTGAATTCTCTCCTCTATTCCAATCGTCTTATATTTATCGATACATTACTTTGCATTACATGTTATATTCACTGATATTTTTTATTTGATTAAACGATTTGTTTCGTTCGCTAAACAAACAGCGAATTTACGACAAATGGTTGTAATCAGTATTGACTATAAAATCAATTTGTATTATAATAAGCAAAGAAAACACTGATTTCTAATAACATATATAGAAATTGTGTATTCAATACAGAAATTTGTGCCAATATTTCTATAAAAAGCCAGTGTTTCTCTTCGGATGCGATTCTTTGTGAAGTCAACACAAATCGCATTCAATTCAACACAAAAAACTAAATATAAATATAATAAAAGGCATTTCAATAATAAGACAGATATGCAGTGAATTGAATGTATGAAAGGAAAGATAACAATTGGGTTTTATTAGGAAAATGTTTTACAGCTAATCGAAAATTATAAGTGAATGTATTTTTTGTGTTCAAAATAATAGTGTCGTTTAGAGCACAGACACTACAGTACACTAAAAGCCAATAATAACAAACTTTAATGCCCTTAAATTTTTGTAGTCTTTTTTAGTACATTGTATTCAGTCATAGGATTCTCTAAAGAGAGATAATTTATTTTTAAAGCCTTTAAAAAAAACTCACAGAATATCCACATATCAGTCATCAAATGATATAGCATTAAAAATTGAGAAGTATTTTTAACTACGCTTAAAATTTACTACCTTTTTCATTCGCCATATAATAACATTGCTCAGTATTTCCCACAACACCCAAAATTACCATCATTTAACACAATCATAATACGTGTATTGTCTGTATTAGCTCTGATAAAACTGCAGCAATTGGTGAGACCTCCGCTCTCAAAGACTGTGACTTTTATCTTCCGTAAGAGTAATCCAACGAATTTTCGCGAAATACTCAAAGACGTCCGAACGCGAGGCATATATAGTATAATCATCGACACCAGGCCTGAGAGTCTGCCTCATCTATTAGCCGCTGTGAGTGACCGCATCCGCACAACTCTATCCAATACAACCCTCCCATCCCTATCCTAATCATATATGATTGACTAAAACATCAACTAATTCGATGAATGTTATTTTTGCCCTTATATCTGCACAGATACTACAAGTCCAAATGAATAATTATAAATATCACTATCATTTCATAACGTTTGATATCGAGACATTCAATTTAGATAACTTTAAATATAATTTTGTAAATATGACGGCCTATCGTATGGTAGACGTAGAGCACCCGCCGGTCCGCCAGATCCTGCGAGACATGGAAAAGTTTCAGCCAATGGGTCAACACATACTCAACAAAACAAATGTGATAAATGTATGTCTGCTTATATTTATATGTAATTTACCATTTCGTTCGCTAATATGAAACTATCGATAAATTCAATCATTACTTTTCATGACACAAAAACGCTTCTTCAGTATAATATGATATGAAATAAAACTAATAGAAATTAATGCCTTTAATGACGAGAATTTTAAATTAAAATTTCCTTTTTCTTCAATTATAAAGTACTGAAAAATTCTTATTCTTACAAAACTTTTTATCTTTGATTGAGTACTTTAAACAAAAAGTGTTTAAAACATTTTGTCATTTATTACACACTGTATTTGAAGTCAATTTTTATTTTAAAACACTTTACACTCACATCCAGATAGAAAACTACTTCACATTGAAATGTATGTGTTATTGGAGTACAGTCTGTAGTAGTGGTGGCAAAGAGTAGCACCAAATCCTTGCGATTATACCTAATGTTCGTGTATTTCTTTATTACATGTGATCGATATTGAGATTAGTTTTTTTCATAAAGCATTTGATTAATGATCGTTAGATTTTGGAGAATAATTTTTTTTGCTTCTTATTCTTAGCCTTAGTTTTGAATTATTGTTATAATTAGATGAGAAGCTCAAGAGATACTACACGTCTTTCCGTACACTTTTAAAATGACTGAATATTTATATTAAAAAATATAACACTTTTTCGCCATTCATTACAATCGCAGAGCACTCTTAAGAAAGCCTCTAATCTGATGACAGAATCTATAAACACAAACAAATGAATTATAAATCTTAAGGCTATTATCATGAAAAGATTTTTCATATAATGTATAGTAATTCCGATGCGAGAGAAGAAAAGTTACAATTTTTAATTGATAAAAATGCAAATAAATCAAACAAAATCTCTTTTGTATGCAAATACAGTGTATAATAAAGAAAAAAATACATTTTTATTCACAATTTTATTTTCACTTCTCTAATACTCTTCTTGTCATATATATTGTCAACGAATGAATTTTCGATCAAATTTGTAATTTTGCAAACTTTTTGAATTGTCAGCATTTAATTGAAAGTGATTTTAATTTGACACTAATTTATTGATGTTATTGTGAAATTCAATTCATTGATTCGGTATTTTATGATTGTAATAGAAACATTTCAAATGCAAACATTTTACAAATACAGTTCATATTTAATAAATAAAAGTTATTTCATACACAAATCTTCAACACGTATTGAGATTGTATTTAATATTGTATTAATTAATGTGTCAACAGTTAGAACCGGCGCTTATGTACGATTCGGTGTATGCATTGGCCCGGGGTTTACAAGCGCTGGAAAGGGGGGCGACGTTAAGACCGGTCAACGCCTCCTGTGATGAAGAGAGCCCCTGGAATGACGGCTCGTCTCTATTTAATTACGTTAATTCGGTACACATTTTGCTCAACAATTCATTTCTCACTCAAAATCATTGATTGTAAACACAATTGAATAAAATTTAGGCCGAATTCCGAGGACTGACGGGAAAAATACAGTTCAAAGAAGGCCGAAGAAGTACTCTTAAACTCGATTTACTTAAATTGCGAAAAAATAAATTAGAAAAAGTAAGTGACCGCCAGTTTTGGATGCAACTGAGCAACTAATTGGGTGCCGATTGTTGGACAGGTGGGTGAGTGGACGACATCGAGTTCGCTGAATATCTCGAGTCCGGAGGCGTTTCACGAGTTCGGGACCACAAACATAACGCTTAGAGTGACTACTATTGAAGCGATGCCTTACGTGATGAGGAAAGCGGACGCCAATAACAGCACTAATGAAAACGATATGTTTGAGGGCTTTTGCATCGACCTCTTGCAGGCCATCGCCGATATGCTTGAGTTCCAGTACGAGCTCTATCTCGTGCCCGACGGCAAGTATGGGGCAGAGAATCAGACCACCAAAGAGTGGAATGGATTGGTCAGAGAGATCATCGATAAGGTATAGACATCAACACCACTTTTGTCTTTAAATTGTCAAACACTTTCTCACAATTATATCCTTATAACTCATTTTGTAATCAAACGAAACACTAGTGACTAAAACACCAATTCATATAACAGTTAATTAGTAGTGAAAAATAAAAGCGTATAAAAGTGTTTGAAATGAAAAATGCCGGCAATATATTCAAGCGTTATATTGTGCTGACAATTGTTGTGGGAATTAATTTTCTTGTATCGATAAAGAGAAAGTAATTTAAACATTTTTGACGATAAAATTTTGTGTTAATTATGATTAAGACTATTAAAACGCTTATTATTATAATTTGAGATTGCATTTCATTTAATGCCGGAAATGTCAAAACAAAACATTTAACTCTCGATTCGCACTTCATAATAAAATATTAATTAAGTTAAAAGTTTTCATTTTAAAAATTTCACATAAAATTAAAATTACAAAACATTTGCATTGAAAGAATAGTTATTAAAACTCATTAAAACTAATGAATTGTATAATTGACAGAACGCCGACTTAGCGGTGGCCTCAATGACCATCAACTTCGCCCGCGAGACTGTCATCCACTTTACAAAGCCCTACATGAATCTGGGCATTGGTATCCTATTCAAACTGCCCTCAACAATGCCCACACGTCTATAGACTTAGCGGTGGCCTCAATGACCATCAACTTCGCCCGCGAGACTGTCATCCACTTTACAAAGCCCTACATGAATCTGGGCATTGGTATCCTATTCAAACTGCCCTCAACAATGCCCACACGTCTATTCTCCTTCATGAGTCCATTAGACGTCGACATATGGCTGTACGTAATGGCCGCGTATATCGTGGTCAGCATCACCATGTTCATCGTCGCCCGATTCAGTCCATATGAATGGCGAAACCCTCATCCCTGTGAGTAGTCATCCATTTAATAGCCACCCTCTGCTCTGTTGTTACACTGTCTGTCACTAACGTTTCAGAAGTCATTTTGTTGTGAATTTAATATATTTCTTATTCATTATACACTTTCGCAGGTGTTATGGATAGCGATATTATGGAGAATCAGTTTTCAATGGCCAATAGGTTTGTGTCGTTATTGACAGCTATTCCGTCAGATTATGTCGCTTTCATTCTTTGCCTTTCTGTGAGAAACTCTTTGATTAATTTTCAAAATGTAATATTATGGAGAATCAGTTTTCAATGGCCAATAGGTTTGTGTCGTTATTGACAGCTATTCCGTCAGATTATGTCGCTTTCATTCTTTGCCTTTCTGTGAGAAACTCTTTGATTAATTTTCAAAATGTCTTTTTCTTCCCAAATATATAGCTTTTGGTTCACAATTGTAACGCTTATGCATCAGGTATTTAGATATTAAATTCTTATCACTTATCAAATGTTTTAATATAGAATCTCTTAATATTCTGTTTATTAGTAAACTGATTAAATTTATTTAATAAACCTGATTATCCGACACAGTATTAGTGAATAAATAACCATTTTATAATGAAACACTACACGATCTTGAAATTCTCTAGGTAATTGAAATAAAGGATATACCTGTATATTGGAGTTTAATTAAATTTATAACAAAAATATACTGTAGTGTAAGTTAGGTTAGAAGCATACAGTAAAGTACATGTTTGGTGTTTATAATATTGTAAATTCAGTATAAAATAAATTTAGCAAAGTTTAACAAAAACAAAATTAAAACTGTAACTAATTGATCAGTTTACACACATCAATAACCGGCTTATTATACTGTACTGTACTTTAAAGTCAATTCAATACTATTTTCCAGACTCTCTTCAGACAAAGAGAGATACTCTGTATATATTTAGAGAAAACTAAATGTGAAAATATATTTAATCAAAAAACGATGTGTTTATTAAAATTCAAGACGTGTTTGAAAATCTAATTTACAATATTGTGTTCAGTGTATCGCCAATTGGTTACCAAAAGCTATTTTTAAATTTATGGCTACTATTATGTTATCGCATAGGGATGTGATCTGAATCCAAAGGCCACG